GTAAGTTAGTCTGTTAGTCATCTGCATACAGACTGGATTGGAAGTCTCAGGGCTGAATAAGAGCATGAGTTACAAACAAAGAAAAGAGCAGATGACTAAGGAGAAATCCCTGAGGCACTTCCTTCTCTAGAATGGAGTATGAAAGAGAAGCCTGACAAGGTGCCCTGGAAGTGCAGGAGAAAACCAGGTAAGTGTGGCATCTCAGAAACCAACAGGAAATGAAAGTGTCTGTAGCTTAGTAAGATGAGGGTTCTGACAATGTAAGAATTCATGAAGCCACCTTCTAGAAACGGAAGCACTAGAAGAGATTTTAGACCTCATCCTCAAAGGAAGAAACCAAAAAAAGAAAAATTTCTAAACATATAAAACTGTTCTGTGTTAGGGCCGAGAGTAGACTCTATGCTTAAACTGCCAACTCCAGGTTCTGGGTCTGTCTCACCTGCCCCCATGCCATGGTCAGAAACATGCAGGATGCTTGGGAACTTGGCAAAGCTGCTTGGTTAGGAATCTTTTTGTGATATTCTCCTGTAGACAGAACATTGAGAAACAAACTAGATCTTTATCCTGCTGGTGTGATGTCAGGCCTCTGTGACCAAATAAAAATGCCCATGGATCTTTAGAGAGAAGAAAGAGCAAAACTGGGATTGCTAATGTGAGCTGTTGGATGGACAGGCACCAGTTATGATGGAACGGGGGAGATAGGCCGGAGGTGACCATTGAGAGCGACAGTTCACCCTACAGAGAAGCTACAATTTCCCGAGTTTGGAGTCTGGGTAAAAGGAGGAGAGAATGAGGAGCTATGGGATTATACAGTTGATTAACTAAATATCCAAACTCAAAGTTAGGACATATGACTCTGCGGCTTCTCCTAATGACCCTGCTCTGAACGATCTGCTGCCTCTATGGGTCTCCCTGATAATTCTGTTTGTAAAACTGCATGGTCATCATCTACCTTTGCTCATTCCCTCACTGAGCCGTGCCTGGCCTACCAGATACTCAGCAAATGATTATTGAACCAATCAATATTCAGTCAACTAGTAGGTTGGGATATTTGAAGTTGGTTTGTCCTTGAAAATCTGAGATTTGTATTCATGCTAAGAATGTTGCTGTGGAATATTCTATTAGAGAGGCTGAGATTGTCAAGGGCATTAAGCACACGAAGAATGTATCATCGCATTATATAACCAGAGCATTTCAGAACCAAATATATCTGTAGCATAGCCAGGCATGAGAATCTAATGCTTCAAAAAAAGACAAATAACTACACACACATATACACAAGCATGTGTATACACATATATGTGTGCATGAGTGTGTATATAAATATACACACACACAGAGAAAATACTTATTTTACTGTCTTTGTAGATGAAGAAAATATAGGCACTCCTAAAATACTCAATAACATTTATTAAAAATATTATAACTCAACCTATGATTTCACTGATATTTTTTCTACCATTTAAAATTTTTCAAGCAGGGAATATAATTAAAACATCTTATGCCTGTGAGATTTAAATACTTTCTAGATGGTTTTTCATATTTGAGTTATTTCAACTTGCTTATTCAGATTTGAAATCCATTGAGGGAAGTGTCTTTTTTTCTTACATAGCAATGAGCATTTCCTGCGTTCAACAAATAGGTATATTAATAAGGCTTTGCAACTGATATAGCCCTATTTCTTAGAGAATCCTTTGAGAGGATGGGGAGGGAGGGAAAGATAAGTCCATAGCTGTGAAGGCAGGAGCCTGAGGGATTTACCGCTTGAAGGTCACGATTTTGTCTCTGTAGTGCGAGGGAAGGCCACCTGCTGGGAGGGAATGTGGTGGAGTTAGAAAGAAACTTCAAACAAGCTTTGAAATGTCTGCTCATAGAGAAGAGGAAAAAAGGTCCTATATGAATACATAGAAGAGCTAGAGTCTAATTTAGGAGCTAAGGATTTTGTTAATTTATCGAGATTTTCTCCGCTGGAATCTCAGCATCTTGATCATAGCATGCCTCCCAGCTACAGTCTGCCTGAGGGGGTATAAACTCAAGAAGGCAGGAGATCGAAGGATACAAAGAAGAGATTTCCTGAAGATAGAGAGACATATTGATGTCTAGGCTAAATAAGAAAAGAGATGAAGACAGGAAAGGGTTGATAAAACATTAGTATATAGATCAAAGGACTAAAAAGGTTGTTAACACTGAATAATAGTTTGGAAGACTTACTGTGCACAAGCACTAGGTGTTAAGCATTTACTATACATTCTCACATTTTGTCTTTGTAATAATCTTATGAAGTGTGTTATGATGATTGCTACCGTAGGCTCAGAGTGGTTAAATAAATTATCCAAGGTCATACTGCTAATAACACCGTGGAAATAGGAAGCCTCAGCCCTCCCATCCATTTTATTATAAGACCACATGAAGAATGGCTATTATGAAATTAAGCAATTCGTAAATGTAGAAAGCTGTGGTCCAGGCATGAAATTTTGTATAGAAAGGAGGAAAAGAGGAACTGGTGGAGTGGTAGACAAGATGGTGGAAAGGTTGGTAGCTGGAAGGTTTCTTCTTCAAAGGACATGATTACTAACTTGGAGCAGAGAGGGGGAAATTCTGAAATGGCATAAAGTAGAAGGATTTTTACTTTCAACATTACTTCTGGGTCCTTTTAAGCTTAGAGAGGATTAAAATAAGGAGTAGCCACTAGAGAACAATGCCAACATAAATCTCTACTATACAGAATCACTTCTATTAGAATCTAACTACATAGACGTAAGGATATAACATACAACGGAAATGAAGACTGTGTTTCTATGAAACATCACATGTAGATATATTTAATGTTTGCTTGGGAAAATCTCACCCTCCACTTCCTTTTTGACTTTAATTCTATCTCCCCTCAGAAAACTTATATTCAACTCCTATTTAGTACCTATTTAGTAATTTCCTGATTCACAAGGGAGGCTCTATATTACTCATGTTGGTTCCTCTACCTGGAATGTGTAATCTTCAACGGTCTTCAAATTCTCTCTTGTTTGGACTAAATTTCATCTTCTGCCAAGTTTTCTTTCCTTCTTTAAACAGAAGTATTTGTTACCTGGTATAAGAAATCCACAGTACTTTTATTTGTGTGCTTCAAATGTCTCTCCTGCCTGTAGATGAGTCCACAGTTAGAAAACAGTAACTCACCTTCATTGAAAACACATTTTCTATAAGGCTTAGAATTGATGCTTTTAGTGGATTGTCTTCTCTAGACCTCGTATGTATCCTATGTGGAAGATAACTGCTATCAGTTCCACCTCAAAGACAAAGAGACTGAGGGTCAAAGAGGTTGCTTTACCTTCCTAGACTCACACAACCAAACTGTGGGGAACTCAGAATTTAAGCATGGATGTCATGGTGCTGACGATTAGTCTTATGTTCAACCCCAGGAAGTGGAAAACATTTGGCAGTGGTAGAGTGGTGGGAAAATGGGAATATATGTGGTGTATGTATCATATATACACTAACGAAAAGACATGTAAGCTGGAGCACACTACAACAGCATTGCAAAAACCCCAGTCATGGTTAATGCACACATGTTGTGCACAAATTTGTGCACATGTGACACATGACCACTATGTGTAACTCTAAACATTTAGACTTCAGTTCCTAAACTATATTGCATAGCTATTATAGAGTGATACTAGACAATAGAAACAAAATAAGAGCCACATGTGTCATTCTAAATTTTCTAGAAGCCACAGTAAAAATTATGGAATTAAGAAACTTGTGTTTTTTAAAATAGGTAAAATTAATTTTAGTAGTATGTTTTATCTAATATATTCAAAATACTATCACTTCAACATGTAATCAGTATAAAAATATTAATGAGAAATGCATATTATTTTTTTCATGGCAAGTGTTGAAAATCTGGTGTGTCCTTTACACTTAAAAGTTTCTTTTCATCTGGACTAGCCACATTTCAAGTTCTCAGTAGTGAGCTGTTGCTCTTAGCTATCATATTAGACCATGCTGTAATGGAATATGAGAGGTGGGAGGTGGGAAGGCTTATAGGAATTATCTATTTTATTTTATTATTATTATTATTGTTGTTGTTGTTGTTATTTAGAGACAGTCTTGCTCTGTCACCCAGGTTGGAGTGCAGTGGCACGATTTCGGCTCACTGCAATCTCTGCCTCCTGGCTTCAAGCAATTCTCCTGCTTCAGCCTCCCGAGTAGTTGGGTCTACAAGCGCATGTCACCACATCCAGCTAATTTTTATTTTTAGTGGAGATTGGGTTTCACCATGTTGGCCAGGCTGGTCTCAAACTCCTGACCTCAAGTGATCTGCCTGCCTCAGCCTCCCAAAGTGCTGGGGTTACAGGCATGAGCCACCTCACCCAGCCAGAATTATCTACTTTGATGCCATTATTTTACAGATTAGACACTGAGGCTCAGAAAGGCTGGGCAACTTGTTAAATTCCACCCAGTTCTACTGCAAGACATATGCCATTCCCTGGTCTGGCCTGTTTCTGTACATTGCTCCATGTTTTAACAGAGATAACAGGAGACAGGGTGGGATAGAAGTTAAATCACGTTCTTAAACACTTTTTGACATAGAAGCAACATAATGGTACCATGTGATACCCACTCTTATTTTGCAAAAGAGGAAACTGAGAAAGAGAAATGGAGCTAGGCATTTAGAGAGGGTTTTACACTCTAGGCTATTGGATGGGAAACCTGATTTCTGGTAGGAGAGCTACACTGTAGAAGGTGTCTGAACACAAGACTAAGCTGAAATCTGACCTTGAGATCATGGCGATCCATTTTTCAGTTCAAGATGAATCCTCCCACTTCAAATACTCAGACAAAACCTCTCAAGTCAATATTGCCCTGCAGACATCTTGCACCTATGCTAAGAGCTAAGTGATTCTTTCTTTGGAACTAGGTTTCTGCTCAAATCCAGTTTTTTCCAAGTGAGACAACCACAGGGAGCCTTTCCTGCCTGGTCCAGCTGGGGAAGCAGAGCCAAACATTTCTCTGGTTCTATTTATAGGGCCGTCTAGTGGTTGAACAGACTGGGCTGAGAATTCCTGGGGTGAAGTATTTGGTGCCTGATGTCTGGAATACCGGTTTTATATAGCTTGTTTTTAGATGCAAGGATTTCCATAAAAAAACAAGGCCAGACACACAGAACTTTTTCAGGAGTGAAAGGCAAGAAAACGTTTTTTAAAAAGGGAATCATCCTAGCAAAATAGTTGTATAGATTTTGTTTGGGAATGCCATGTCACTTTCTCCCCTCCTTGATACCAGTTGAAAATGTGCAAAACAATGCTATCTCAAAAATAAGAAAATAATAAAAGAGAACATACGTCCCTGTTGTGGGTTAAACAGGGACTCCCAAAGGATATGTCCGTTCAGGACCTCAGATGTTAAGAAGGGATCTTGACGTGAGATCATCCTGGAGGATGTGGGCCCTAAACCCAAAGATAGATGTGCTTAGGAAAGACAGACACAGAGAAGGCTCTGTAAAGCTGAACACAGATTGGAGTTTTGTAGCTGTGAGCCAAGGAAAGCCAGGAGCCTCCAGAAGCCAGGAGAAGCAAGGAAGGATGAGTCCTTAGAGCCCGCAGAGGGAGCACAGCCCTGCCGTCATCTGGATTCTGAAGTCTGTCTTCTAAACTGTGAGAGAACCAACTTCTTTTGTTTTAAGCCAAGCAGCTGTAGCAGTTTGTTATGGCAACTCTAGCCAAATAATGCAACTATGTACAACCTCACCACCATAACTCATCAAAACTGATTTCCCTTTCTGTATTCCTCACATGTACACAAATTTGACATAGTGGTGTTGTGGCATAGATTTCATTTTAATTTCAGTTAAAGGGAAAGAAGATTACTACTGACTGAGCTGGTTCAATGTCCCAGACCCAGCAAGGACTCACTATCATGGACTTTTCCTCTTTTGCCTTTCTGTGGATAGTTTTCATCCTCCTTGTCCCAAGAATCTTCCAGGGCTGGGAGAGCAGGTTTGAATGAGGACAAGATTACAATTCATAGCAAAATAAATGCAAAGGAAAAAATTAACATTAATCTTTTGACTTTCAAGACCTAATTATACAGTAACGCAATGGCCATGGGAGCTTGGCTGTTGTCTAGAATGTACGTTTTTCAAAATCCCTTTGTTTTTCCATTATTAACCCCACACTCATCCCTCAAATCTATACTTTTGAGTTGACCAAAAACCAATCATGGGCAATTCAACTCAAAGAGTTCTCCCAGGGCAGAAGCACCCCTACTGTCCCTGATAGTGTGGACTTTGTTAGCGACAGATGTGACATGATGGCAAAGAGAGGATATGATGGAGGAAAAATAGGTATTTAACCACTGGACCCTTGGGAGTGCGAGGCCATGAGGGAAAAGGGTGACCAGAACATAGATATCTGGGCAGAAGTACAGTTAGTGAGGGTAACACGAGGCATCCTCGATCCGTGGCCTTTTCAGAGCTAGCCTGCACCAACTTGGAAAGTAGCAACATCAAGATAATGTGAGGCTAGTGTGAGAAAGCCATGAGGTTGAGCTTTCTCACGTTTCCCTAATAGTATAGAGAAGACCCAGAAGGATGTTTGAGTCTGACCAGGAGCTTCTCAAAGGGGACTGGTTAAGTGAGGGTGAGACAATTCTATAGGAACAGCCTCAGGACAGCTCACCAGGCAAGGATAAATAGCTGTCACAGGCAGAGCCCCAAGGTGTACACAGCATCTGCAGGAGTGGACGTGAGCCCACATCTGCCAGGAGCACCATGAAGCTCTGCCCATTTCCAGAAAGCAGCTCCGCTATGAGTTACCTGAGCGACAACTGCAAATGCCACTGGGAAACAGCAACCAGGCAGCTGAGTGACATCTCCTGGGAAGTCAGAACTGATAAAGGACACACTGAGCCCAAGGACCTCCCCTGGACCCTGAGGTCACAGGAACCACTGCTGTCCACATGCACACACCTGCATTTTTGAAGCGGTCATTGGGAAGGTAGAAATGAATGAAAAGTAAAGGGACAAAAATATTATCTTAAAAAAAAAGTTATGGAGAGGAGCAAAGCAAAAGATATACACAAATATCCGAGAGATGGAGAATTTTCGAAAAGGATTGTTTAAATGTCAGATACAACGAAACTTGAAACACCATTGGACTGAATGAAGTTAATTTCTTTCTGGTCCACAAGCGGGTAGAGGTTCATGAAAAAGACCCTGTTAGTCTAGACAAAGAACCTCATTCCTTTGTGTATCTAAGCACAATGTGAATGAATTTGAGACTTTTATTACCCCAGTTTGTCCCCTTAAAATAGCTAGAGAGAAACATTTTCTATTTGCACTTACCTCTAAAATATCATTTTTTTTTACAGCCCAGAACACTCCTATAGCACCAATCCCACAGAAAGATGATTTCCACATCCTTTATTTCACCCAGAAATTTAAATGTAAGCCAAGGCAATAATGTTATGCATCAAGCAGTTATCCTACACGTAATTAAGAGTCTCAAGAGGTTTTAATTCTATATGCTGGGCAGGGCATGCATGCTGTTTGCTGGTAGAGGTTTTCTTCCTGAGGAATCACTTACCATGGTGATCTTAAGACCAATTACCTTGTTTGCACTGATGATACCTTCTTATCACTTCACAAAAAAACAAGCAAACGCCAGTAATCTCACACAATTCACTTGTGCATAAAAGCGTCTAAGGAATGAAGCCATCCATACAGTTACAGAAAAGATACTGATGCATGATTTATTTGCTTCCTGCAGACTCTGATGAGACCATTACACCCATGCCTTCAGCACCTTGCACTTCATTTGCAGTAGATTAATTTGTACATATTTATAGGGGTTTTGTAGCAATAGTTCTGGAATTCAATCATATGTCTCCGTTCTGTCTCCCCGTTTAGATGATGAGGGATCTTTTCAAAGGCAAGGACAGCAATTTCCTGGGGGTCTATGAATACGCTGTTCAATTACAATACAGATAACTGAATTCCCAAAAATCTGGTGAACAACAGTGTTCCAGGTTTTCTCTCCCAAACCTGTACAAAGCACTTTCATTTATGTGATTTCTGAGAGGCTCACTTAGCCAAGTCATCGAAATATAAAAGACGGCTTAGGGAATGGCTTTCAATGAATCTTAGTCATTGCTTCCGTTAGGGGTCTGAAGGCGAGTGGGGAGGATAAGGAGGGGAAATTATACCCTTGTTTCCTTTTATCTGCCTCTCTGCCTCTCATTCTCTCCCTAACAATGCCCTGTTGCCTCTGAAGAACACTCCACCACACACAGACATACACTCACACCGCAAAATGCTGTCACTTTGCAAAGTGCTTCTTTGCAGAGGACACCAAACCCCACCATACACAGATACATTCTCACACACATTGCGGTCCCAAGCTCAGCCACACTTCTGTTCCAAGATGCCCATCCTCTGATGCAAGTAATCAAAACCTCCATTCTCTGATATTAGAGATCCAATAAATATGTATTTTAAGTATTTCCCAGTGAGAGCATGGTGGCAAAGTCTCAGACAGGGCATCAGACTGAAACATGAAAGTCCTAGGTTTGAATTGCTGTTTTTTAATTTATTAATTCTGTGGCTCTGAAAAAGCACTCTGCATCTGCAATGACCTTGTCTTTAACTTTGGTGTCACAGCCATGAAAAGGCTTCTAAAATATACTTGCTATTGTATGATAAATGACTAACAGACATGGTCTTTGTGGATATGATCTGAAAGACAACATTTTAAAAGGACAGCTTTTAAAAGTCATACTATAACGTAATTAGTAAAAGTTGGAGAGGAAGAAAGATTTCTGAGTTCTGGAACAGTTGGGGGGCCTCTATTACCATCTTCCAGAAAAAGTAGCAGTGGCTCAGATTCATCTCTAAAGGTTACGGATGTTTGAGTAAGTTTCATATCTGACGGTTGTAAGGTGTGTTGTGCAGAACTATGAGCAAATCTAGCAATCAAAATTCAGGATATTCCCCAAAGAGCCTGCAATGATTCAAACATGCAGCTCAATATTCAATTGCTTTTTAATTGGGCATTAGAAACATCTTAGAAATGTGGGATTGGGTAAGCACGCATACATACATACACACAAACAGACGATGCACAGCCCTTTTCATCTGGAGAAATTTGCTTGCACTCACAAAATGGGCTGCAACTGAAAAACTGACTCCGCCGAGCAGTAGTGGTTGAAGTATGGTGCACAAAAGCTTTCAGGTTGGAAAAATCCGTATCTCTGACATCGAGCCGAAGAGTTGTCTCGAGTCCTGTACATATCCATCACGATTTTCAGCCAGTGCTCAATTCATTCTGACAAACCCAATCAACATAGCCTTTACAGTGGGGTTTTCTGGTGTTCAGAAGGTCAGCTTCAAATTCTCCACATTTCTACAGCTGCTTCCATTATTCTTTCAGGAAAATAAATAACAAATTAGAAAAGGAAGATAATTTGCTGTGCTGCTAAAGCCTCAGGGACTATCAGAGGAAAGAAACGGGGACAATCACCAGTGACAGAGCCTAGAGGAGCTTGTAATTCAACAGTGGAGCTTCGAGTACCAAGGAGAAACCACCGACAATGGAGCCTCTGCAGGGAAGAGTTTGTCTCAGATGATCAAGTAGCAGCCTAACAGGGAACTTTTGGATCACTGAGGAATCTTTTACCGGGGACTGGGGCCCCAGGATCAATTTTAATTCTACCGATTTCATGAGACACACTTGCCAACTTTTCAAATGAAAACTTTTCATCTTTTTAACAAACACCTCCCTCCAGAGGGAGTCACAGTACCTATTTCTGATCTGAGAGCTGCCGAATGCAAAACTAGGTGTCTTTAAAAAGCAATTGCTTCTTTAGCTGAGACTTAAATGTGTAGTTCCTGGAAAAAAAAATCACCTTCAAAAGTTCCAGAAAGAGGAAAAGAGTCTGAGTCCTAAATATAAAAAATAATGAAATAGATAAAAAAATAACTCTGCAATTCCCATTCCCATGTGAGCACACGGAACTCCTGAAACGTCTTCTCTGTCTTGAAACCACATTTTGGCCAAATTACAAATGTTAGAGAAGGGGTCGGAGGGAATGCCACAGTAATACAACCAAAATAAAATAACATAAAATTATTTTCAAATCATTCTCAGAATGGAAGCAATTTTAGAGATACAATAAAAGTCAACAGTTAACATGGGAATTGCTGAGCACCAAATCAGAATTATTGACAGTGAGGCTGACTCAAACTTGAAGAGGCTGACATCCCAGCAAATGCGAGATTTCTAAAGTCAACTCTCTGAGTCAATCAAGGTCTGGACAAAGTGACCTCAGCCAAGGCGTTAATATGTAATTCCTTCAAGTTGTGTACCTACCACTCCTTGTCTCCCCAGAGAGAGAGGGGGAAGGGTGGGGGGAGGGGGGGAGAGAGAGAGAGAGAGAGAGAGAGAGAGAGAGAGACAGAGAGGGAATTCAATAGAGAATAATTAAAATTCATTTTAGAAACAGAAATCCCCCAATGCCATATTAAAATAGTTATTATGTGGGTCATTTGCTACAATAGAAGCTACAGAATAGAAAGGGGCACTGAGACAATTTGGACCACAATGACAATTTGGACCATGATGACAACTGCATTTAAGAAGGGAAAACCACACACGTGGCCCGGGTGGAACAGTCCTTCCTGGATCCACCTTGCTACTAAGCACTGATCCCTGGGAGACCCGTGAGTATAGTAGTATATACCACATGCTATACTTTAAGAGGTATTGGGAAGATTTTTATGCCAACCTACAAAATGAAATAGTATTTAGTCTTTCAAAAGAAAGAAAAATTGTCATTTTTAACACCATGAGTGAATCTAGAGAACATTATGTGACATGAACTAGGCCAGGCACAGGGAGACAGATGCCACATGATGTCACTCAAATGTGGAATCTCAAATAGTTGAATTCATAGCAGCAGAGAGTAGGATGGTGGTAACGAGAGGCTGAAGCAAGGTGAGTAAATGGATAATGAGGAGACATTGGTCAAAGGGTACACAGTTTCAGTTAGACAGGAGACATAGGTGATCTATTGCACAATACAGTGACTACAGTTAACAGTCCTGTATTGTGTATTTCAAAATGGCCAAAGAGTAGACTTTGAATGGTCCCACCAGAAAGAAATGATAAATATGTGAGGTAATGTATTGTTAATTGGCCTGATTAGATCATTCCACAATGGATGCATGTATCAAAACATCACATCGTACTCCAAAATAGATGCAGTTATGATCTGCCAATTAAAGATACAATTAAAACAACACATCTCACATTTGTCTTTAATTAATACTCATTCAATAAGACAAGAGTCTTCCATTCTACAGTTCACGTAAGGGTTAAAAGCCACCTCTGCTAGGAGAGGACATCCAGCAAGTCTCTTCTACAATAAAGCACCCACTTATCAGACTCTGAGTCTATCTATGTTTGTGATAAGGAACAGTGTGCAGAGACTCAACAGGAACAAAGAAGACAAGTAGCAGAAGAGCGACTTTGAGGCTAGAAAAGGCTTCAGAGGAAACAAGTGCAGGCATTAAGGTCAAATTTCACCCACTTCTCAATTTTGCATCTGTCAGGCTGTGCCTGCAGGTGAAGGTCTCAGAAAAAGCTTCTGATTCTATGGAGAAAATGGAACATAAACAAGAGGCTCTGTAATGATTATATCCACTGTTTGGATTTTTTTAAATAGAGAACCTGGAGTAAATGTACAAGGTAATATGTGCGGGGAATAAGAAAGGATAATGAAGAGAATGCACATTATAAATATTAAGTCAATAGAGAAGTTTATTATAGTTGCAGTCAGTCTATTACATAACTGTTAAGGATTATATCATCATGAATAAGTGCTCTTAGTCACAGTAACCTCACTGCACTCCCACGCTACACTCTGTGCTGGTGGACTGAAGGAACCCCCTCCAGTCACCCTTCAGCCAGGTCCATGGTCAGCTCTCTGACTCTGCTGTTTCTTGGGCTGACCTGGCAATGTGAAGGACTCATGCTACAAACAGGAGCCTGGAGAAACATGGGCCGGCCACTCTTTAGAAGGAATTCTTGCATTCAGCTTTGCTGTTGTTTTAGCTTTTTAAATTTCTTGTCTATCACTGCTTTGCACATTCTTAAATCTAGTTGTGAACATTGGGAATATAAAGGTTGTGCTCCCGTAAAGTTTCCCAGGGGTTTTTGAATGAGAATGGAGATGGTCTGTGAGGCGGCAAGGCCCAGCTGGGGCTGATGTGCCCAGGTAGCCTTCGAGACCCTTAGCTGACATTGGAATCTCAAGCTACCTAGCGCTCCAGCTTAGTGGCGAGTCTTGCACTTTGGAAGTACTACAACTCCTGTCCATGAAGGAGGTTTTCCTAACAATCCTTCAGAAAGGTACAATGAAGAGACAAACTCTCATTTTTCTTGGGATCAGCCAAAGTAAAGTTGGATTTTTCCCCAAATAACTTTTCTGCAAAAAATAATGGGGGCAGAAGGGAAAGTGGGTGACAGAAGGCAAGAACACACACACACACACACACACACACACACACACACACACACACTCTCAAGAACACATACAATGAAGTTACAGAGAACCTGTATCTGAGTTCCTGACTGCTGGCTCTAATGCTTGTATCTTTGAGCGTGGATACATGTCTCAAGCTAACAAATTAAGTCCTTTTGTTACACATACACATACACACACACGCATTCTTGGTATATATTCTATTGCATGTTATTATACAATAGAAAGGTCTAGGAGAGAACATCGAGCATTAAGCTAACTTTTTAAAAGGAGTAAAATAACTAACCTAATAACTCCCTTCTCTGATCCTCTCTCATTCTGTTATATCCATCTTTCTTTTTCTTTTTTATAATGTTATGTATATATGTATGTATATTTTAGAGGCATGGGTCTCACTCTGTCACCCAGTGCAGTGGCAAGATCATAGTTCACTGCAACCTTGAACTCCTGGGTTCAAACAATCCTCCGATCTCAGCCTTCTGGGTAGATTAGACTGCAGGTTATGCACCACCAAGCCCGACTAAGTTTTCTTTTTTTTTTTTTTTTTTGTAGAGATGAAGTCTCTCTAAGCTGCCCAAGCTGATCTTGAACTCTGGGGCCCAAGCAATCTTCCTGCCTCAGCCTCCTAGTGTTGGGAATCACAGCGCAAGCCCTTTACATCTGCCTTAATGTTGTGGATGACTTTGCAGAGGATATGAAGCCTAGAAGGGCAGCTTAGTAGAATCTAATAAAGGTCCATTTATTTAGTGATACTTGAAAAGACACAGTTGCCAGTGGCTCCACGTTGATTGCGCAGAGGCAGTCTCATGATTCCACAGGTGGCCTCTCTCTGTGGTTCTCATCACAAATGCAGCATAAGCAGTGTCTGCTAATGAACAAACTAACAAAAAACATTTTTTGGTGTCTAGGTTTGGTTTGCCAAGTAATTTCAAAGATATATCAGAAAGTTGCCTTGATAGGTCTGGGAAGTTCTGGGAAGTTCTTGGGATAGTTCCAGGAATTATTTTTTTTTTTTAAAGAATAGAATACACAGTAGCAGCAACTACAACAGAACAGAGTTCACAAGACTTGCGTGAAAATTTATCAACTTTACAAACCAAACTTCCTAAACAGGCAATAATAATAATAATAATAATAACAATGCTAGCTTAATTGCAATAAGAATTATTTTGTAAATATGCATTAAATATTTCCAATATCTCTAGGGATCTGTGTCAAGGCAGCAGATAAAGTAATCTATCTGTGGAGAAAAGTATAGCAAAGGTGCTAACTGGGCACATTGCTAAATGGGAAAAATTACCACTAAGAGCCTTTTAAAAGAAAACAGAAGATGGTTGAGGCTTTGATGTCACAATATAATGGAAAAAAAGTCCAACTTGATGTGGAAAAAACATTTACATGTATTTCAGTTAGGTGGCTTTCCAAATCTTCTTAGACAAATAGGAATGAGATAAGGGCTCAGAATTTTTTTGTAACTAAACAGCTCAAGAATGTGTACAGAAAAGAATTATTTATAAAAACAGTGTTTTAGTGATTTTATTCTTTTTTATTTTGTAAGCCACTTTACTGAAGTAGGATTGGCATACAAAAAGCTGTAAATATTTAACGTACACAACTTGATGATTTGGAGATAAATATACACCTGTGAGACCATCACCACAATCTACGCTCTTACTCATTCATCACCTCTGCGCTTCCTCCGCCCTCTTTATTTATTCTTATTATTTTGATTGTGATAAAAGCACTTAACATAATAGCTGCCTCCTTAGCAAATTTTTAAGTATACAATACAGTATTTTTAAGTATAGGCATTCTGCCTATTAGATCTCTAGGATTTATTAACCAAAGAATATAATGTTTCAGATTTTTTTTTTAAATGACTTTACAAATTGGGGATTATGAACAGGCAAAGCTAACATTATAAAAATAAAGTGAACCCATTTTCTCTTTACAAAATGGCCTTATACTCTTTGATTGAAATTTAAATTTTTAAAGATACATTAAACCTGAAAAAGTAGGCAGGGCATTATGGTTGTCAAATTATGAAATAAAAATATAGGATGCTCAATTAAATTTGAAATTTGGATAAACAACAAATGGATTTTTAGTATAAGTATGTCACAAATATCTGCACACTTATTGTATATGTAGGTTAAAAGAGTTGTTATCTAAAATTCAAATTCAATTAGTCATCTTTAGATAAACTTAGAGGCCATAAAAAAATTCATATGTGCACCAAATGGCTCACTGTTCTAGTGGGTGAACATTCAATAATATAGGGTATCCAACTAACTTTTGTTGCTAGGCTATCAAGGGCAAAGAGTAGGACAAATAATTAAATATTTAGTCATCCTAATTATTGTGGATGAGAGGGACATCACGTGTACACAGTCAGTGTGACCACCAGGAGGCTGGAGAAGCCAAATATTTCAGACCATTTGGCTGTCCCCATTTTCTCATTTGGTCAAACAGCGTCATCCCTTTAAGACAATATATCATTAAAAGATTGTTCTCAAACCTAATTACAAGCATGTTCTTTCTTCTTAAGAAAAAACTGGCAATGTGTGGCAAATTTTACCTAGACAAGCTATCTGCTACAGGAGGGCTATTAATATTCTCTCCATTTTTCAACCTCGGGATATGTGAGCTAAGTCAAGAGGATTGGAGGGAATGTCTACAATATCCTACCGGATTTAGAGGAGAAGCACTGCTGTGCATATGCTCAGAAGGAGCAGAGATCATTTCCATTCTAGCAGCTCTGGAAACCTCACATATAAGCCATATTTCATGAGACCAAAATGACTGTCCCAGTTTCCCTAGGGAAGATATTTAAAAGATACCAAAGTTTTCTCTGAGTAAAAAAAGGGTATGAGTAGGCAAAGTCAAAGCTTATCTACTTGTTCTTGTGTTAGATTCTTTATGAGTTTATAACTCTTGGGATGAAAGCAGAGAAGTTTTGGAAGTTGTTTGAAGATACCTTGGAGGCCATGTTCTATTCTGAGCTACAAGGTGCAGGTGTACATTCCTTCGCTGCTTTAGAATTCCTGTACATTTCTCCATGGCTGGCTTCCCAGTCTGTTTAACCAAGCACATGTGCATGCCCACACTCTAGATAAGAACTGATCCCAAGCAGTCTAGAAGCTATCATCTGCCTTCTGTTTCTACCGTGGCAATGAAGAACAAAGAAATCCAGGAACTCTGCCTAACTATGAGTAACCAGATAATTTTCAGTAACTGTTCTCATCTTTCCATTGTGGAGGAGATGTCTCACATACTGAAGGATGCTTTGCTTACAAAAATTAATACATATTTAACACTTGGAAAACCATATTTCTTTAGACATGTCAGTGACCACTACATCCTGAGGCTAGCATGGTGGGGAATACTCCATGGGTCATTTATTGATTCACTAAATAAACCCTTTTTTAGTGCATACCAAGTGACAGATATTGTGATGAATGTTAATCATACAATGATGAAACAAAGGTACAAGGTCTCTGCCATCACAAACTCAGTCCAGAGGGAAGAGACAGTGAAAAGGTAATTACTGCCCATTGCAGTGAGTGCTGCAATTGTACAGAGCCCTGTGGAGACAGGAAGCGAGCCCAGCCTGGAAGCATTTTAGTGAAAGGTCCTCAGAAGATGCTCATTTAAGGAGAAATTTGGAAATTTAGTAGAAATCTACAAAATGAAGTAAGAGTGTACGTGCATGCGTGTGTGTGTGTGTGTGTGTGTGTGTGTGTGTGTATGTTGCCAAAAAAAAAAAAAAGAGTAAGGGAAGTGTTCCAGGAAAAAAAAACAAAAACTATGCAAAGGCTCATAAGAAACAAAAATAATTTTAGTAAGGATTCAGTGTAAACCAAGGTTGAGAGTTTTTACGGGGTGAAATTGGAGGGGAAAATAGAAACCAGAAACCAGACACCAAAAACATTTCCAACAACATTAAGTTTAAACTTTCTCCTGAGGACAATACCAAGCTTATGAAGGTTTTTAAACCAGGGTAATGGCATAATGAGATTTGTATTTTATAAAAATCTCTACAGTCGCCAAGTAGAAAATAGGTTGAAGAAAGAGACCATTTAGGAGACTCTAAGCTTATAGTAGCAGAATGATAAGCTTCGGGGTATAGATGCAATTAAAAAAAAATATTTGAAGGGAAAGAATTTGATTAAATGGAATAAAAAGGAGAAATCATTTAAATTAAGCAAGGAACCTAGCACCCAAATCTTGGTTTCTAATTTCATTCTCCAGGAAAAAAGGACTGGAACTCCTTTCAGAAATGGCTATTTCTAGGACCGAGGCAGGAAATTTACAAAATCAGCCTTGAGCATCTTGTTGTGCTGAAAAATAAGGAAGTACAGAAAAAAACCACACACACCCACACACACAATGATTTGAGTATATCAAAGGCGCATGGAAGCCAACAAAAAGAGTTCCCAATAGCAAAATCTAGAGTAACTTGAGCAATAAAATAATCACAGTAGAATTAGATTATAATCTAAAGTGTAAAGTAAATATATCCATGAGCTTAGTCAAATATGAATGATTGAATAAACAAAGAAGATAGACAAGGCTCACATGCAGAATTATTTTGAATAATTTATGTAGATACTCCACCCTGAACGAGGTGAAATACAACTCCTCACTCCTTAAGGCTGGGCTGTGCATAATGAATTCCTTCCAAAGAGTACAGGATGACCAAGAGTGACCAAGATGGTCAAGAGCCAGGTGACTAAAGTCAACATCAGCAGCAATAAGTCATGGTAATAGTATGCACACTTGGTATGATGTGATGAAAATGGCACTTCTTAACCTGTCATCTTTCTCTCAAAAACCCACATCCCAGTCTAATCCTGAGAGAAACACCAGGAAAATTTCAGTTGAGTAGCATCCTCCAAAATATCTGACCAGTACTCTAAAAACTATTAAAACATAGAAAACAA